ATCAGTTTTAATTGTTTATTGTTTATTTATCTGTTTACTGGTAATTAAAGGAACATTACTGCAAAAATGTGCCTTTTGTGTTCAGCACTCAGGTGAAATTCTTCTCATTTTACCAAATATCATTATTACCAAACACCACTGATTACCAAATATCATTGACATGCAAATTAATTAGAAGTTAGATCTCAGTTAAAGCTTCAGATTATGATTATTTTTTTCCAGGAGTCCAAGAGCTGAAATAATATCAAGTAAACTTCTACTTGTTTAATGGATCAACTTGCAATACTTTAACTTTATTTTGTGGATCACACACTCAGAGAAACCTGGTTGGATGGTGGGTCCTGGTGGGCGGGGCTTGGGGTTTGGTTGCGAGTGACTGCTTTGTTGTGAAATCATAAAGTTGCGGAAGTTACTGACTGCTTGTTTTGAGGCTTCGTTCCTGAATACAGGCTGTGTTACATGCTTTATAAGACATGGAAATCTCACTTTATACAATACGAGACCTTCAAAATATTGAGGGGCAACAGAACAGCTGTGAGTAATCACACTACACAGAGGCAAATGTAATACACAAGACACACACACACACACACACACACACACACACACACACGCACACACTTCTGGTCAGCTAGGAGCCCTGCAATACACAATACTGTACTTGTCAATGTGTCGCTTCCTGTTGCTGGTTTCTCCCTGATGCTCTCAGTTGCTCTGCCTCACACACACACACACACACGCACACACACACACACACACACTCGCACACACCCAAATGCCCACTGGAGTTTGATTGAACAGTGTAATTAGCTGTAATTAGTACTCATTAAAATTGTTAAAGATCCCCCCTGTCGTGTCAGGATGCAGGTGTGTGTCTGACTGACGAAGTCTAACACACAGATACACATACACACACATAGACATACACAGGCACAACCTCAGCAAGACAATGACTTCAACAGCTGTAGCCTCGGTACCTTTGTTTTTAATAACTGTTGACAGTGTTTCTATTTCTGCACCGAATCACTCGTGACTCCTTTAAAAACAAAGTCTTCAAATGCTCTATATGACACCTGTGGCATAATTAAATTTAACAGCGCATTTCCATCAGTGTTTAGCTGCATATTTTTGCAGTAATGTGGCACAATACTGCATGTGGAGAGTGAATGTCCTCAGCACCTGAAACTACTCCTATATTCTCCACACTAGACTGTGTTTAAATATGAAAAGGACAGAGCCTCTATTTCCTGCAACAAGTCACACAACCTTTCCTCCCAGTAATTACAATAACGTCACAGACAAGATATATTACATAGTAGTTTGACAGCATGGACCGCCTTAAGCATCATTAACAATCATCTAATCTGTTAACTTCAGGGAAAATCTCAAGAGCGGGTGGTGGTCTATTGAGAACCAGGCCAAACATAGTGAGCAAAACAATTAAATTTGAAAAAAAAAAAATAGACTAAACTCAAGAACAACAAACTTTATATCTAAATGAGCAGCGGTAAATCCTGTCCTGTTTGGGTCAATGTGATTTCTTGTCTCAACATTAAAAAGCTTTCGTGATTAAATTAAGGACTTTTTAATATATGGCCTTACATATTCAAGACTTAATCACCCTCCTGTTAGTAAAAATATACAACTTAAAGTTTATTGTGGCATTCTTATTACAACCTCCACAGGAAGAGGCTATAGCGCCACAGAGGAGCAGTAGAGGTTTTGCTGTTTGCTGGTCACCATTACCAAATGACTACAAGAATGTGTGTGTGTGTGTGTGTGTGTGTGTGTGTGTGTGTGTGTGTGTGTGTGTGTTTGCGTGCATGCGTGCGTGTGTGTGTGTGTAAAAATGTGCGGATGATGAAGAGTGAAATGGAGGGAGGGGTTTCTTAAGTAGAGCTTTCAGGATAGACATCATTTTGCACTTTGGCGAAGTCCACAGTGCACATATAGGCATGTGCACACACACACACACATACATGCACAGACAGGTGCTCTCTCTCTCTCCCTCTCTCTTTCTTTCTCTCGCTCGTTCTGAGTGGGAAACCTGCCACTACAATCACCATGGCGATGGCGATTGTTGCTCAAGTGGATGACTGTGTTGCTTTGAAACCATAAGGATTAGCAAAACACACACACAGACACATACACACACACACACACACATACACTAAAAAGGCACAAGCGCGCACACACCCAGGTTGCCAGGTTGTTGACAATGTTCAGTGATGGGATGCCAGCTTGGCTCTCATTTCGCTCCATAACACCCCCCTTTTTTAGATCTCAGGGCTCATCAAGGCTTCAAATGAAGAAGCAAATTGGATTGAAAAACACAATTGAAAGGAAGCCAAGTGGGCTTCAACTGTGAGAAAACATGTGAAAAGGAGGCCAAAAGAGCCACATTGTGGATGAAAGTAGATAATGATACTGTATATCCTTGTTAGGGCGCCAAATGAAACAGATTGTGCTGCTGATTTTGATCAAAGTATTTTAATATCAAATATCTGTTATAGCAGTTGCTCAGTGCAAGTTGATACTCACATACCTCTACATTCATTTTGTTATGTTTGATGCAGAAGAGCTTTGTAATCTACATCCCAGCTTTCCCCCGATGTAGTGGATTGTATAATATCAGTGAATAGAGAGATAGTGTGGAATTGTTGCAGCTGATCGGTAGCATCTGAAGAGATGTGGTTCACCTTCACAATATCACCAAAATAGAAACAGCTCGCTATCAGTGTGGATGTCTTTATGGAAATACCTGGCCTCTGTTTAATTTTAAACGACTTCTGAGCATCGTCTAATCGTAACTTTGTGTTTTAAAAGGGGCACAGAGGGGCAGCTGCAGAAACAATGGTATACACAATATAAACTTTGTACTACTTTCGTCAGCTGTTTTGTCTGTTTCTACATGTTAATATGCGTAGGAGAAAATTGGATTTATGTGTAGATGTACAGTGTGGTGATAATGATCCAGTGTTCTGTCAATAAGCAATGATTCTCATAAAACAAATTAAAGAGGAAGAGCAGTAGTTGTTTGTCTTTACCATTAGTTATTTGGTGAGAATTGGAAGGATAATACACTTCAGAGTGTGGGAAATATGCCCCATTTTAGTCCTATATTAAACATTATATAGTATCAAAATCCACAGGTAACTGACAGCAGTGATCTTAACGTATAATGCACCTTATGTTACTGTGTGTGAATTCAGCCTTCCTTAAACAAATAAAGAAATAGAAATAAAAGAATTCAACTTAATGGGTTCATGTATTTAGCTTGCATTGTTATGGGTGCATCAACCTCCAAAGGTGCGGGCTCATTTGACCTATTATGTAATGCTTCTTCTTAGTCGTCATCATTTTCATGAACTTCAAATAACTTCCTGCACTCAGAACACTTTGTAAACCTGCAGCGCTGGTACAACAACAACAACAACAACAACAAAAAGGAATGAGGAAGTATAATTAAGCTCACGCCTTTGTGAACATACATGTACGAAAACACATGTATACCCAAACACACAATCCGATGCTACGTGTTGCTGCAGAGGACGGGCCGCCTAACAAGCCCGATGAACACGATCAATGTAATGAGTCTCAGTGTTGTGATATGCAGGAAAACTTTCAGGCGTGTAGGAGGTTTGTGTGCACGCGACACATGTGTATGTTGGTGCGTATGTTAATTAGAAACTTCTGTAGGTATGCACTGCTCCTCTTCTCTACTGAGTAAACGCAAACACATCTCACGGCTTCCTGCCTGACATCCGACACACTGGAGAATAGTTTCCTCCACTGAGCTGTAACTGTAGCTTACGTGACTCACAGCACTTCATTGATTTTCTCATGGATATACTGACTTTCACACTGCTTCTTAACAAGCCACCTTGTTAGTAAGTCGAGTGGTTTTACAGTCTCACAGATGGTTACAAAGAGTCATTTACCAAATTTCTTGGATGATAATTGCAAACTCTGCATGAATCAAAAATCAAGTACTGTGCAGTTCTTTGAAACAGCCCACTACTTATTTGTATTTTTAAAAAAAAGAGAAATTGAAGAAAATGAAGATATAGTCCAGTATTTAATTCACCTTAAAACCAAAAATTGTTGTTTTTACATTTGATTTTGTATGGAGCTTTAGAGCTGTAGGCTGGTTGTTTCCCTGTGCTTCAAGTCTTTATGCTAAGCTATGCTAATTGCCTGCTGGCTGTATAATATGCGGACAGTCCATGCAGACACAAACTTTGAACAAAATTATTCGCATCAAAATATACTAAGTACCAAGCATCAGAAGTAAAAGCACTAATTATGCAGAAAAATGTATATTATATTACTGGATTATAATTACTGATACAGTGATGAGGTGCATCTGATTTTAATTACTTTATGTTGCTCGTGAATTTCCCCCAGGCACCAATCAAGTCTTATCATACGTTAGCCTATGATAACACATAGTAATTTATGAGTTGATTATACATCATTAATCTGAATGTGCAAAGTAATGAGTAACTAAAGTTGAGGAGTTAAAAAGTAGCTCCCTCTGGAGAGTAGTTAAGCAGAAGTATAAAATAGCAGAATATAAATACACACAGTACAAGTGTACTTAAGTACAGAAGTAAATGTACTTAGTCATTTTCCACCATATACAGTATATATATATATATATATATATGTATATACTATACTACATTTATCAACCACTATCACAAAACTGTCACTGTAGAGAACTGCAGCAACTCATGTCAAGATCACTGACTGCTAAAAGGATGTTTACGACACCTCCCTCAGTCATCATATTTTTCAGGCACAAGTGGCAAAGAACTTTTATAAAAAGGGAGAACAAACTTTATGAAACAAATGCAGATGTAAAACAAGCTTGCACCGTGACATGACAGTAACTCCCGACAGCCTTGGTAGTCATTTCATTTTGTTTGCAGTGATCATAAATCAACATTGGTCAGATAATCATTGAAATATTGGCAGCTATGGGCACACATACTCACCCTAGAGCTTTATCCAAGCGACTGCCCAACGAACCAACCACCTCTCCGAGAGTACAGTAGGCCTGGCCCAGAAAATCCTGTCAGCGAGAGAGAAATGAGCCAGTTTAAAAAAAAAAAAAAAAAAAAAATCTTTCTGTGATTCAGACAAGGCATAACACACAAAATATACATACAAAATCCAATGAAACAAAACTAACACAAAAATTACTCCCCTCCCTGATCTCTGCTGAGAGCAGGCCTGCTGGCCCAAACCCTTTTAAACACCTCTGCATTCCCAATTGACATCATATTATTGGCAAGCATATCGAGCCTTCCTCCCACCAGCCCTCACACCAGCCCCGCTCTGCTCCCTTGCCACTTTCCTTGTAAATTAAACCGCCATCACATAATGAAACTTTACAGCTGATGCCGACAGAAGGAAAAAGAGAGATGGGAGAGAAGTAGAAAATGCATGTGTATCAGTTCTGGAGACAGTTACGTTTGTCTGTCAGCAAAAATAAAATGGCTATCAGTTTATCCAGCGTAAAATATGAGTTTTATGAGTATGAAAACAACTTCTGATGTAGGGAAGCTATTATAGAAACATGCCATCGCCGTCCCTCTTTCACCAGGGGGCACACTGTTGGGAACATGTTTCATTACTGGACTCTGTCTCTAATATCTGACTGGAGCAGCTCTAAGCAGCACTAACATAATGGATTCTCTTTGCTCCATTGATTAGCCTCTTGTGTTATTCTGTCTCTATCTCTATCCATCGACCCAGCTTCATGTCTGCCTCTCTAGTTTGCCTGTGTCATTATTGATGCCTGCGTACAGTCACATGACTTTACTTTGCCATAAACTCATTTGTTTTGGCCACAATAAGTGCTTAAATAACACTTTAAAATGTTTTTTTGTTTTTTTTTCCTCCCCCGTCTCTGATGTAGAGGCTGTGCAGTGAAGTCACAGATCTCCTAGCAACTGCGGCTGTTGCCAGCATGAGGTCCATCGGTAAATTGGCTGTGTGCAACTAATGGCTAAATATATGACAGCATGGGCTAGGAAAAGAGTTAATGTGAAAAAGATAGTTGTGTGGGTGTAGCTCCATTAAGTAATGTTCCAGAAAAAATGAACTGTTTGATAGATACAGTAAGACTGAGATCCAGAGCAGAGGTTTTCAAGGGGGGGTGTAAGCAGACAGACAATGATTGGCACCACTCTAATATGTAACTCCTTATAAAAGGTTTACATGTTGTAACTAACCGTTTATTAAAGGAAAAGTTGAACATTTTGGGAAATATGTGTATTTGGTTTTCAGCAGCCAGCTAACGTAGCTTAGCACAAAGACTGGAAACAGAGGGAAACAGCTAGCTCACTAATTAACACATCATATCTCGACCCTCACGACCTGACAACCCCAAAGTAAGTCTTACTTTTGGCTTATAATTCACGTATAAAGGATTAGTAAATTATTTATTTCAAAACCACTGACAATTCTATTAGTTACAAGGTACAAATCCTTTATAAAAGCCGAATTATTAAAAAGGGGTCCCCCTAGTTTTTCCAGGTGTTGCAGTGGTTTTATGTTGTCAGATGGATGCCGAGCAGAAAAGCGTGTAAATGCACTTTAGAAAATACCCATGAATTAGATTCCCAACTCATTTCAAATAAATGGCACTGCCTGTGATTTGTAATGCATTTCTGAAATGTATTCAAAATGGACCTGGAGCACAACATGGGATCAGCCTGGCTTCCTATGTATCTGCATATAGAGACACAAATTAGTGCATTCTCTGTGTGACTGTCCCCCACTCTCTCCACCCTTCCCTCTATATTCCACGCTCGTTCTCACCCAGTTCCCAGGTGTGCCTGCAGCCTAAAGTTCCCATGCTAAAACACCATCTAATGGATTGGCTCTCCGCCTTTCCCTCCTGAGACCTGCATCGAGGGCCAGTTAGATAGTACGCTGCCTCTGAGCCAACATGCCTGTCTCTTCTTGTATGAGATTATTGATTTCAAGAAAGTGAGGCAAGGGGGAGGGAAGACAGAGTGAGGGGGAGAAATGGGAAATGGAGAGATGGAGAGAAAGTGAAAGAACAAGGGTATGACAGGGAAAGATGACAGAACGCCATAGTGAGAGGAAAAGACAAGATAAGGAGATAAGGGAAGCACAAGAGGAATGAATGCATCAAGAGGGACAATAAAGTGACATAAAACGAGGAAAGAAAATCCGAAGAGGGACTAAACTTGCTTCTGAGAGACTGGGAGTGTTTCACTGTGATGAAATAAATGTCCACACTTAGTTTCATACATTTGCTGAATGCCATTGAATGGCTTCTATTTAGCTATTTTAAAACTGCATCTCTAAAAACTGAGCTCAAGGTAAAGGTTGCGAAGAATTACTGGAGAGAGAGAGAGCAACTACTGACCATACAGGCCCTTCAACACTGATGTCACCTCCCACATCAAGTGGCAGACACTGATTTAGTGATTCTATGCAGTACAAACAATATAAACCAAAATGTACCTCACTTACTCACTTTCTTCACTTTTCCTTCGTACTGGATGTAAATGTCATTTATATGCCATAGGTAAATCAACTATATCTGTATCTATACACCCCATGATTTAAACCTTTTTGCTTGTTAGGAGCTCCAGGTTAACAGCAATGGCTTTAACGCCTTCCAGATTAGAAACCAGAGCTTCCTACAAGCACCTGAACACACAACCAGAAATCATTTAAAACACAGATTTCTGACTCAGCACTTTTTAACTTTGTTTTGAAAAGTGCTGTATAAATAAAGTTTATTATCATTATTATTATTGAAGGTGAAAATACAAGCCTTGTGTCATGCACTGCTACAAAGGTTCTCAATTACACCCATTATTAGGGAAGTCTTTTCATATTGGGTATCTGCCCATACCATGTCTGATATTTATGTTTATGCGACTTAAATGTTAATTAAATAGTCTATGTATGTTACACATTTAAATAACACAGCTCTACACTTGATCTCACACACCTTATTTTTTATGAGCTTCTTGATCCAAATAGTGACAGTCATGGTTGATGTTCAAAAAGATCAGTCTATAAAGTTTATAAGTTTAAATTATTTACATGATATGAATGAAAGTTCAGTTGGGAGGATACCACCACTGTAAGTGGAATGATGCGATCCACTAGAAAGAAGATGCCTCACTCTGTTGGATTTGTTTGAACTAAAAAAAACACTCAGTTCATTAACGGTTGTACAGCGGGGTTGCAGAGTGGAGGTTCTTCCCTCGCAAACTATCTTTGACAAGTACTGACAGTAGTGTGCAGAGAGCACACAAACCGACCACAGCCAAATTTAATTTAGGACTGTCAACGAGTTACACACTGATCTAACATTAATTAGCTGATATGACGTACTGCCAGCGACGTTTGTTATTTTAACCACTGAATGCAACGTTCAACAAAAATGAGAAGCTGCAGCTGAATGTTTTCTACACTGCTTTGCTAACAATCATTAACAATGGCGCTTAGGGAGTCTGTGTATTTGTATCAAGGTCTGGACTTGTTATTCACTGCTGTGCCGAGATAATACTTCATGTTCACACGCGCTAATTCTCACTGGCTTATCAAGGGGACGCTGCACAGTAAAGCCTGGCTGTATTAAAGGACCAGTGTGTAGGATTTAGTTGCATCTAGCTGTGAGGTTTGCAACCAACTGAATACCCCTCCCCTTACCCCTCCTTTTCCAAGCGCGTAGAAGAACATGCGATGGCTTTCAGGCAGCGTAAAAACGTAAAAACGCCCTCTCTAGAGCCAGTGTTTGGTTTGTGTCTTCTGGGCTACTGTAGAAACATGGCAGGCTCCATGAGGGAGGACCCACTCCATGTGGAGATATAAAGGGCTCACTGACGAAAACATGACAAATCTTAGTTTCAGGTGATTATACACATACTTATGAATATCATATTCCAGTTCTGCTAATAGATCTCCCTAAATCCTGCACACTACTGGCTGGTTGAGGTGGACAACATACACCAGGGTACAGTGATGAAAGGATCGGTTTTAAACTACATTATTTTAATCAATACTAATCCATTAAAATATGACTGGATCGGCCCAGTCTGTTAAGTCGCTGAAATAAAGTCTAAAATAGTTTATTGTCTGTTCAAGGGTGTGAACCATAAAAAAAAGTACTCATAAAAGAAAAATCCTCAATTTATTAGTAATTAGTAGCACTTATGGTTAATATTGAATTGACTTGTTAAGTTTCACCTCATGTCTCACAATTCTTGTCTCCTTTTGTTCTTTCCAGTGACATCACTCCTCCCTTTTGTTTATTACACAAATGGGGAGGTCATGTGACTGTGTGTCCATGTTATATGCTATGTGGGCGGACTGGTTGTGCTGAACAGTGCAAAGCAAACACTGATAAAGGCCTAAGGGCTGGAATGTGGCATCTCGGGGCAAAGTGACAGTTGCAGCTCTGTGTAGAGGCAGACTGGGGCACCAAAGTCAAGTGAGTGTAGCTTTTTCACGGACACACTCCCACACAAAGATCTATATTGTAATAATTATTTTCCAGGGAGTGGCCAAAAACTGCAGAGCAGGTGATGCATGATTGCACATTGGCCTTTGCACACACTGAAGCTGTAATGTAAATATCCAGATGGCTAGATAAGAGTTTATGAGTGGAAAAAAACAGCTAAATGAGACTGATATCCACTTTGTTTTTGGTGCTATTGTATTGTTGTTGCCTCCCATCATTTTTATTGTTGAATGACTTCCTTGCATTGGACAGTGACAGACCAGGTCACTGTTGGCTGTTACCACAGCAAACAGCTGCTCAAACATGTCTCAGATATCACTGTAAAGCTGATTTCATGAAAACAGATGTGAGCACACGAGATTACAGTCAGACACAGAGCTCTAGGAATTGCACACTGATCGGCAAACTAAATATATCAAAGCTGTCAGTTTAAACAGTCATTTCCTCTTGTTGAAAAATAACTGCCATCTTTTACAGGAAAAGTTAGATATGCCGGGAAATATGCTTATTCATTTTCTTGCTCACAACAGTTAGATAAGAAGGCGGATACAATTAATTTCTCTCCAAGCATAAAGCTACTACCAGCAGCTAGCTAATTTATCTTAGCATAAAGACTGGAAATTGGATCCGCTTGTTTGACTGTTTCTTGGCTGCGACCAGTAACTTACCAATAACTTTGTTGGTTGCCTGGAAACTAGTCCAAGGAATAGTTCAGTTAAAATGGCAAATTGTCGTTTGTATACTTCAGTTTTTGTACAGCAACATATAGACGTAATGTGTTCTTTATGGGGTTGAGGTGATGGGGGTGGGGGGTGGACTTTGTTAAATCTGTACAGAGCCAGGCCAGCTGTTTGCCCCTTCATCCAGTCTTGCTAACATGATAACTTACGCTAACTAGCTTCATATTTAACAGATGAGAAGATTGATACAACTGTCATGTATGTCTAACACTCAACAAAAAAAATGTTTCCCGAATTTCCCAAAATGTCAAACTATTCCTTTAAATTATAAAATGGTGACACCACATGTGCTAAATGTCCATGTCCAAACAGGGCTTCTAATACATCTTGATGCATTAGCTATTAGCTAATAACTACATGTTACTCTACTCAGTTCATCAAACAAGACGAACTGACTAACTGGTTGTGATTTCTCGGTCCAGTGAACAGAAATAAACTGAACACTGGAAAACAACTGGCAACTGCTCTAAAAATAACTATGGAAAACCTTTGCTAAAGTCCGAGCTGCATCTGCCTCTTTGAACTACAGTCCCCATGATGCAGTAGGCAGGACACAGCTATTCTTTTTTTTGCCAGCAAAGACCAAATTATCACATTATTAGTTCTAATTACCATTATGCTAATCACTGCTATCAATGGGGAAAAAAAGCAGGGTGGACAGGGGAAATCAGTGTTTATTTAATTTCGAAATGAACAACAGGCCATTCCGGGAATGTGCTATTACAGTAGATGATAAACACACTCATTGTAATGGCCAGATTACTGTTATGTGGCTGAAATGAGGCTAATGGGAGGTAATGACAAGGACAGCAATCATGCTCAAACAAACACTCACTCACACCCACACAATGAAATCAACAAAAGTGTGCAGAGGGACAGAAATAAATGTGAACGCACGCACACCTCCATGTGCGCACGAAAACACACATAATAAAGACAAGTTCTGGTACTCACATGTTTTGACAGGTTGGCACTCTTGGAGTCAACATCATACCTACAGAAAAAAAAAAAAAAAAAAAAAAAAAAAAAAGCATAAGAGAGCAGGAGAGTCAGTGCATCAGAAAGCGATGGAGGATGACGGGAGCTCAGCTGGCAAACACAACAGGGATTACAGACAGGGGAAATCAGTAATGGGGCCAAGCAGCTTGTCAGCGAAGACCTCACCAGAGGCTCCGGGTAGTTCATTTTCCAACATCACAGGCTCACAGGCATCTTCCATTAAAGTGACACTAAATGGACTAATTGGCAGTCACACATATGATTGTGAGAGTATATGTGTTTGTGCTTGTGAGAGAGCGATGAACAGAAACTGAGAAATGCTGTGCTAGTGAGCAAATATGTAACTAAGTGACTGTCCTCCTTTGGGTTTCCATCTCTGCTCATTAGTGTTACTTTTACTGGGCCATTGCGCTATTTTTGTGATGTATGTTTTAAAATGATTCACATTTTTTACTCCTCCATTCCACCTGCAGGCCTCTCGTACACATAATACTTGCAGAGAGGAAAAATGTGTCCAGAAATGGCCCCTCCAGTGCAGAGGCTACTCTAAAGAATGAGAAGCAATCAGACAAGCCATTCACTCAGCAATTTCAGGTCATTTCACAGCTCAGGTCATTTCACCCACCACTAAAAATGGATTGCCCTTTGCTGGGTAATATTTTGGGGAGGGAATGAGGGGCAATTTAGTTACATTACGAAAATGTTCTGTATAATGTACACGCGGTGTGTATCTGTGGATGTGTGTGCTGCACATTGAGTAATTTGGACTCAATGAATATGAATCTGAAGCATGACTGAGTATTTAAAATGATTAAATACAATTGTGTGATATCTCCCCTACAGCGCTTGTGCTCAGTCTTTTTTTAAACATTCAGTGTCTCTACCATCAAAACTGTGCGAACCACACAGCCAGCTATCCATCCTCTAGTCTAGAAACACTTGACAAATCAACAGCCATACCATACAGTCTCCATTCAATTTGTTTTTCTCTTTTTGCTTGGGGAAACATAATAAACATAACATAAATCTCCTACTTTCCATGTGAACTCATCATTCAGACCCCCAGTTTCACTACAAGCACATAATGTTGAGCATGGAAAAATAAAAGTAGTGTTTGCAGAAGTACGACTAAGAGTTAGGGCTAGGGTGAAAAAAAAAAAATTAATAATTTCTCTGATTCAAATCAATCTTCAGTTGAATAATATGATCTCGGTTCATAAAATCCCGAGATCGATCGTTTAATATCTGCCTTTTACAGTCTCCCATGGAAGTGGTGAGATCTGGTCACGTGAGAGCCAAAAAAAATAAAAAATGGCTGACGTGGTTCCACTGAAGGTGCATGTCTAAAGTTGCATTTCGAATTTAAAAAGTATGAAGACAGCGAAGAAGAAGAAGCCGATTCTCATTCATATCCAAGCACAATTGGTATTGGAACTGAAATATCTCTCACTGAATCTATATTGAATCGAATCGGGAAGTCACTGGTAATACCCAGCACTTCTAACAGTTATGTGATACAAATACTAAGCTGAACTGCTTTGAAATCCATACATGCAAACCACTAACGGTGATGCAGACTTGCAGAAAGGTGCAGTCTCATAATTCACATTAAGAGGACACACTGTAGCATTTCATAACCTACTACTCATCCCAACTACACGGGCCTGAGGGAGGAAACTGTCTTTCATCTGCTATCATCTCTGACTGTGTTACCCTCTGCAGCAGCTATCTATGGCTGTTAGACCCACACACACACATGTACAAAACACACACACATGCGTGTCTGAGCGGACATTAAAGTGGAGGAATGCACACACACACACACACACACACACAAATGCACATGCACGTCTCTCTTATAGTGTTGCAGGCCCTGAATGAGAGCAGCGTTAACACACACATACACACTCACACAAAGACCAGCAAAAAGCCGGCGTGCTGTTCTGTTCTTCAGATGCTCAGTTTCATTCAGGAAAGCACTCCAGAGACAGCAACCACAGAGGCATTCATACATTTATACAGCTCCCTAAACAAATGAGAGGGCAGAGACACACAACACAACACAGATGTCCCTACATGTCCAGGGTATGAAAATGTCACAGCAGAACTAGTGTGAGCACATACAAAAACACATTCGGACATCTATATGGATACACACACATTTCTCACAACCCACTGGAACGAAATTTGACACCTATTCTAATGACAAAAAAAAAAAAGATTATAAAAAGACATAAGAAAAACACATTCAAGCGGTTGTTATGGTCACCAGCGCTAAAGCGCACACACAGCCACAAACACGTGCGCACGCAAAACACACAACATTGTCACCATGGGTGTCACACGGTATGTGGGAATGCGCACACCGGTTTTGCTTTGGTCTTGGAGTACGTCTGTCCACGTGAACTCTAGCCACACTTCTCTAGTGAGATGACGACATGAGTATGTGCTGTGACAGAGCAACCAGCGGAGACACTCATGTATGCACACAAACATTACTGCACAATGATCTATTGACACACAAACTAAGATAGCAAGATATCTATTTTCTACCCATTAAGGACAGTGTGTGATAAACACTTTTCTTTACTTTTGTTGCAGTAATTAACAGTATTGCTCTCTCCCTCCTTCCCTCATGGGGCGAATACACACAAACAGGCACACATGCAGACACACTAACTCCTCCTCTTCACAGTCTAACTTTCAGATCCCAGTTGGGTTGTCAGTGTGGCTCCCTGGTTCATATATTATAATATAATTAGTCTCCGTCTAATAAAATAAAGCCACTGAAATCCCCTCTGTAATTCAATGAGAAATGCGATCTGAGCGCAAATTGAGAAAGAGAATACCGTCACCTACAGGCAGTTTGGTGCTTTAATAATGGCTGTCTCCTCTAGCCCACATCTTATTCCTCTATAGGCAAAGGAACCCAGAGTAAGTGTGAGATGTAGTTATAGAGCTTATTCCTCATGGATATACAGTACAGTATCAGATAATACCATTATCTGGTACAGTATAAATAGTATAAATTTAAAATTATGAAAGGTGCAATGATATTTGTATCCGTAATTTGACAATCTATCGATCTATTTGTGAAACCAGCAATATCCAGTACTTTCCCAGCCAATACTAATACCAACCACAGTTCTGCAAGAGACTTCAGTCAGATGCGAAGCAAGTTTAGCTTCTTAATTTGTGGCTAATTTGGAGGAAGTACTTTGCTGTATTCATGCCAATGTTACAATCTGCCAAATATCAGTAGTAAAAAATAATACTGGACCAATACCAATACTGCTTTTAAAGCTGCTGTCACCTAATATATAGAGAGAATGAAAGCCTCCCAGTTAAATACGGTAACATCACTGTCTGGTAGTGTCAAGGTGTAGGAGGAAGATTCATCCCTGCGTAACCTTTGGATAAAGTAATATTAGCGTGAGTGCAGTAAACTGTCTGGAAACAGCTTTTAAATGTTGAAACCTACAAAAGACAAATGTTGAGATGATGTTTCTGACCAAACTCCATTTCATATTTGTTATTTATTTACTTGTTTTACAATAGGCCAAAAGCCAGGTGGTTTGGATGAATGTTAATTGAGTGACTGACTTGAGCAAGGAGAGCAGAGAAGGAAACGCCGGTTTATAGCGACTGGAAAGTAAATAAATAAAACATTCGATAAAAGCGAGATGTTTGTAGATCTAGAATGAAATAATTATGAACTTTAATAATTCCTGGTTATGTGGAATTCTTTAGAGGTCACATGGACGACAAATCCAACCAATAATGTCAAAGAGACAGTTTCAAGCAGAGGCCTCTAACACTGGGTGAATGAAAGATCAACTCCGGCACCTGAAATGCCATTTGACCTTTACAACATCTGGTGCCAGACCAAGTACTAATCTCAGCAAATATTAATATTGCGATGACACGAGACACACACACACACAAACACAGGTGTAGACCTTACTTACAAGTCAAATCGGAGGTTCTGCCGCTCTTCAAAGAAGTAGTCCAAAATGAATTTCCGCACAAAGTCTGGGTTTAACGTGTTGTCAATCACCTCTGTTCTCCCAAACTAGACCAAGAAAGCAAAGAGAGAAGACAGATAAGAATACCTAGGTAAACAACCCATGATGCCCCAAGTTTGCATAATCTGTAAAAGTATCCTGATGTTGTTGTGAAACCATTATCTGTCATTTTAATATTTCTGCAGCTCACCAAACTTGAAAGCTTTTACACAAATCACTGTTTTTACAAGCACTCTGTGAAGTGATTCATGTGAATAACTAATCACCAGCAGGTTTTTCCCTCGGGAGACACATCGGGCGGAGAGGCTGGTTACAGGAGATTATGTACAGCTTTAGAGTAATGAATGCAGAGCACCTGAAGTATCAAGTCAATGGGGGTCAGGCAGGTCCCGGTTTGGTATTTAACTCAGCTTGTTAATAATGCATGCAGATGATGGGCTACTCAGAAATATGAATAACTGGGAATGATTGGGGCTGTAGGATTTGCCCCCTCATTTACATTCCTGAATATTCATTATTGTGGTAACTGCAGTACAGTCATATGTGAGTGCACACATGCTCACAAACAAGTTATTGGTTGTTTCTACAAGCACAAATAAAGTGGGGTTTCATATCGTTAGTGCAGCTTAATTAATAAAACTCTCTTCAATTCTGTATCCAATTACATTTTCTGTCTGTCAGCTTTATTAGTGTATTGTATTGAATTGGACAATAGGTATAAATATATTTTGTGTGAAAAGCACGTGAACACGGAAACCTCGAATCAGCCAAATTCCATAATTCAAGTAATTAAACCTTAATTGTATTATTTGGGCGATTTGTTTTAGCTATGCTAGCAGCGTTGCTTGTTATGATGGCAATGTCGGTCCACCACATCGGTCCAGACAGAGATATCTCAACAGCTATTGGATGAATTGCCATAACATTCCCGGTTCCCAGAGGATGAATCCTGATTTTGGTGAGCCCTTCACTTGTCCTCTCGCACCGCTACGACATTCACATATATACAGATTATCAACATAATTTGATTAATTAAAATTTCTTGTATTTCTACAATGCGTAGAATGTCACTTGTAACACTTTAATGTTCAAAGACAACCAATTTGTTTTCTGCCTTCTTGCAATACAATATCCAGCAGTGACCTGCAGTAGCAGCAGCCTTCTTAATTTTTTTTTTATGCTTATGTTTAGGGAAGGTTTGGGAAAGATCATGGTCCGTTTTAATAAAGAAAAAGTCAATTTTACATTCAACCAAAACCACAATCTTTCCCAAACCTGAACCAAAGTGTTTTTGCTGAATAACCCTCACCACAGACAGGACTTTGAATGTGAGCCCCATCCACCCCAGACACCTCTGTGCGACTCCACCACAACAGAACTGGGAAAGTTCTGGGACAGTTTGTAGTTATATGGGACAACCGGCATGTTTTGAATATACACAACAGAGACAACTTTGCAGGTGAAGCAGATCAGGTTTGTTTTAGTTTTTCCCCACATTTTGCTAAAAAAAGAAAATCTAAATTAAAATTTTTTGGCCATATCACCCGCCCTATAGTGAGTAACACACATATAAAGTCAAAAATACAATATACAGACTGCACAGATGTGGACCATGCTGCAGGAGCAGTTGAAGAAGTGTGAAGATGTTTTGAAACTTGCATATCTGTCACCAGTGGAGTCTCCTGTAACTTTATTTGAAACTAAAACAAAGTACTTTGTGTGAAGATGGGCTTTAGATAACGCAACATAACTCCTACTGTGTGACACACACACACACACTCACCTCTCTCCACTCCTTGTTGCCCATGCCTTGTGTGTAGAGAACACAAACTGTGAAGAACAGAGACATATAACATTAATATATATGCACTAAATCACATACTAGTATCCCTTATAGTTATACAAGTATTCTCTTCAAATCACTCATATACTGTACAATAGGATTTTTCTTAATAACCATTTTGGTTAATGATTGGAAACTAAGGGAAGGGAACATTATTCTGATAAGACACAAAGCAAATAAATAAAAACAAACTCAAATGTCATGGTATTTCATGGATCCATTAGAATATGACTATTACAGCAGAAATGTGTGAATTAGAAATAACAAAACAACATCAAAGCAGCTAATAGTTTTATTCATGAAGCTCAAATATATATTTTCCATCTTCAGACGGTGAAAGACATCATTTCGGGCTATTACGCAATTTCACGAAACAAGGCAAATTACTGAGCTCACTCATCATAGACCTTTGATGTTCTTTTCAGATAAGTGACAGACGGATATACCACACGCAGGCGAGTGTCACACTTTTTTGAGGGGGGAAACAGAAGGTGATATTTTGGGGACCCAGATTTAAACCAATAATAGAAACTTTATATTCTTTACAGCCCTGCAGCTTATGTACTGAAGGGGCTTTATGTTTTTGTTTTTTTTCCCCCACCAGTACCTTAGAGCCTCGGTTGTCCTTTTGGATCACTGCTCTTTAGATTTTCAAGATATTTTTCCCAGCAGGTGACATATCTCTGTATTTCCAGTATCTCAGATGTTCGCTCTCCTCTACCTCCTTGCTCTTTCACCCTGTCAGGCTGGTTCAGATCAGGAGACCCAAGTCACCGTGCTCAGCATAATCACAAGTGCTACTCAGCATAAAAGCACGCCTAAATGTATGGGTAAAGCCTAAGCTTCCTCCTGCTTCTCCTCCTCCTCCTCCTCCTCCTCCTCCTAATCACTTGTGTGCTCGTCATCATGTTCATCACTGTCATCATGACCAGCTTGAGTCATTTTGATCCCACACTACTGTAAATGTGCTGACGTGCTATGTTTTGCAAAGACAGTGTGCGTGTGTGTGTGTGTGCGTGTGTGTGTGTGTGTGTGTATTGTTGAGTAAGTATATAGCACCAAAAGTGATATCATAATCCCAAATTCAGACACAGCTCAAGATGACAAATACCGTCTTTGATAACAATGATCTTACATCCGACTCAGACTCCTTATAACACACACACACACACACACACACACACACACACACACACACACACACACACACACACACACACACACACACACACACACACATACATCCAGCATGTACAAAGAAAGTGGCCTTAACATACTGCAGCCAAGGAGCTATTTACTGACCAGGACATATTATGCCACATGACCACAGCATTACATTTCTACACTTTGGTTGTAGAAAGAATTTCTAGCTAGCTGCTTCCTATTTACTGCAAGAGACATGAGTGTGTGTCAATCTTGTCATCCATGTTTCTGCAAGAAAGCAAATACGCAAGTATCTGAATTATTCCTTTCAGCATTTTATTAGACATTTTTATGACCAATTCTGCACCTTCTGTTGTGTTAATAACTGAAAGGATTCTGTGCAGCACATTTGCATAGCTGCAGGAGGAAAATTGGCTGCAGTGGGTATGAAGCTAAGCATAAGTTCAATCAGGAAGTATCTATCCTTCTTTGTGGCCTCATTCATTTACAATTCTATCTCATCCCACTTCTTGTAATCAGTTGACTTCAGGTGTTTTTCGGTAACCGATCAGTGTTTTGCTGATAAAGTTTGTTTGTTCGCTTAGAATGAAGTCTCTCCTAATTGAAATGAAGGTAGGAAAATATTTAGCTACGTGTTTTTTTTTTTAGAGGCTAACCAATTATAGCTCCACATTAGGTCTCAAATAGGTAAAGGCTCATATTAGACCAGTTTAAGTCCACAGCTCTGACATACAAAAGAGTGGGATCACTCTTCTCTAACCCTGGGAAAGGAAGCCAATAAAGCACATTACCCAAAATGTCAAACTATTCCTTTAACCTTACTGCTCTGGCACTAACAGTATTATTATAAAGATTTTAACTGTGGGGAGAGAAGGGGAGGATTGACACCCTTTCTATGAGTCTGTAAGGAAAAGCTTCTTAGTTTTTCTCTTGTGCATTAGTCAGACCTGCCTCAAGCCGAGCTCACACAAAAACACTTACACACATAAGGAGTGACTCACGACTACGTACTGCTACAGAAAAGACCCTCCTTCAGTCTCTAATTGATTTCGCACTCCTTTACACTCTATTAATTCTTCTTATTTTCCACCTTTTCCCTTCTTTTCTTTACTCTCTCCTTTTGTAATTTTGGGCGATGTACATACATTAAACTGACTTGATGAAACTGACATTACTTTCACGCATGTTATATGTTTTGTAGTCTACACACACTTCACTTGCCTTTTCCACTCTGATTACTGCCCTCCCCATTGCGACGCTCAGAAATGATTAGGAGCGAAGATCTCAATTAACAATCAGACACTGACACAAACACAAACGTGATCGCCGTGGGTGACAGACAAACAGAGAGATGGCTGATCTTACTTGGGTCTGATTTGGAGAAGGTGTCCCTGTCCAGCAGGTTTCTGTGGAGACACAAAGGGTGAAAGGAGTTAAGAAACACGGTTGCCTTGGTGAGAAAGAAAATCATCCGTCTTCCAAATGTGGCGGTGAATGCGTTTTAACACAAAGACTATTTATGTAGTCTGTTTGGCCATGAGTCAGCACATTACCATCACGCTCTGTTTACAGTATGCCTGTGGTGTGAAAATACAAAAAAAATATATTTTTATTGAAAGAGAAGCCTGGCAATGTCACTTTTTTTTTTTTTTTTTTCCCAACAATAAATCCCATGAAAAGATCAAACAACATGAATTCTACTAACAGGTGTTGCTGTGTAGCTAAACCCGGATTAACTCTTTCCAGTGTTGTCAAAAAAAAAAAAAAAAAAAACTATTAAAAACAAAAAAGGTATGATCCGCAACTTTGCACTGGGTGACAGGCTCCCTCGCTGTGATAAACACGGGCATCCTCCTGCTGCCATAAATACTCACTACTAGCACCAAATGTGTATTAATCCGCATTCGAAAAGCATGTAGATTGTGCTTCTTTTCATTGTTCACAACAGCACCTGTGCAGCGTAAACAGGTTCAACACTGAAAACCCAAAAACATTTCAATTCAGACAAGTCCTCCCTCGCCACGTAGAAACAGTGAGAGAACTGACAAGAACCCCTGCAAACATCTTGCAATTACTGCCACCATAAACAACACTATCTTCAGCTTATCGCACAGAGCGGTTTTCAACTTAAATTCAGACTCTTATTATTTATGGGAATTAAGATTTTTATGGCTTCTCATTTCATGCTTGAAAAACACTAGGTCTGGCCTCATATTCTCTGCAACCAGTGATACATTGAGCAGTCCTCTGTCTCAGCAAACCATTGAGTTTCATCCAGAGATGGACATTAATAAAATCCTGAAGAATTTATGTTCCCCAAAAAGAGCAAGGAGGAGGGCTGGGGAAAATTTAATGGGCTGATACGAAGTGGCACGAGACCTTATTGTTAATTCTGATTTGTGAATAATAAGATGAATGATAGTGATGGGAGCTAATGGTCTGGAGAGGAGAGGAGAGAGAAGAGAAGAGGAGAGAAGAGGAGAGAAGAGAAGAGAAGAGAAGAGAAGAGAAGAGGAGAGGAGAGGAGAGGAGAGAAGAAAAGAGAAGAGGAGAGGAGAGGAGAGGAGAGGAGAGGAGAGGAGAGGAGAGAAGAGAAGAGAAGAGAAGAGAAGAGAAGAGAAGAGAAGAGAAGAGGGTTCACTAACTTGTCAGCGAGGTTAAATCACTCAAGGCCTCGATAAGAATTAAAATCTACTCTCCAATCCACTTTCTTTTATCCATTTAATGTGCCCTGACGTTTCCTGGTTGCAGCAAAGGCATCAAAATGTGGGTAATGCTTTCAGTTATCCTTTCAATCCCAGGGATTGTGAGAGACTTTGAAAGGCTGTCAGACAAAGCCCTGAAACCATCAGCTACTGGAGAGTATCCAGGCTGCAAGCTGGTTTTCAGTAAGAGCCTCTCTGACTGGAGCTGTTTTTTTCTTTTTGCAGCTCACTTTCAGTTGTCTCTATCACTCTGTTCCTGTGTGTACTTCTCTCTCTTTTCCTTGCGTGAACTTGTGAACTCATCAACACCACATTTTTTCATTTTTTCTCTCCGTCTCACTCTCCTGGGTTTGTTCGCAAAGCAGAAACACCTTTGGTTTAAAAAACACCATTGGTATCCACTTCTACTTTTCAATTCACTCATTTTCTCAGTCATAAATTGCAACATCGCTAATATCAAATCACTGATATCAAATGTTTCCATGTCATGGCGCTTCGCTGCATGATTTGCTGACTTGAGATATTTGAAGCTGTTATTTGTAGCGTTTGGCTCGGATTGCATGTTCCAGGTCAGTTTGGTGTTTGCGCTTCATCCCATAATCCAAAGACACGCACAGGTCGGGTGTATGTGTAAAGGTGTAAGTGTGTCTGTTTGCCTATTGTGTTGTCTGTCCTCAGCAACAAAAACACTAATGGACACAATAATCCAGCTCAGAGGGTGTGCAAATTCATACTCCTGTTTACATGTATTAGAGAAAAGCCTGGTCAATGACTGAAGAGGCTCCTTTCGTAAAATGCTAATTTCTTCTTCAAGAACACTTCTTCAAGTCATCAACAGTAGTCATCGATATCGGTAGTTGGAATGATTTAAGCCTGATCGACCGAAAAGCATCTTCTTTGGTCAGCTCTACACAAAGTCGTGCAGGTTTCAAGGGAAAAAAAACCTATCAGGATACTGTAAGACAAAGACTTTGAGCGTTGGTTGTGAAGAAGTGTGGTTACCAAAAATAAACTTGCCTCCACAAAGGGTGTTATTTTTCATAACACACGTCAAAAACTGTGTGAGTGAAAGAGAGACTTTGTGACAGTGTCAAACATTAAAGACTCTGTAAATTAGATTTTAAACTATAATATAGCAGCAAACAAATTATTCTCTGATTTTTCTTTGGATGCATGTTAGTGCATATTAGTCCCTCCCTTTGTTCTCCCTATACACAAGGACAGCCCACATGCGAGGCGCCACAATGCAGTACACAGCAATCAAGCAAAAGCAACATTCCAGGATCTCCTCCACTGAATAAACCACGTTGTTTGCCTAAAAATGCCTCCGACAAAGAAAGAGATAGGACCTGAGCAAAGGCAGACTGGCCGCCTCAAATCACGGTCGGCCGCTGGTCCGTCAAAACATCCAAAAAAGTTTTTACCGGCTCCACCAGTGTCATTCGTACGGCCGATTCCGGCCAAATCCAAGGCTGAATTTGTTTCCTAGTCCAACTGGGGAGCCAATACTGTTTACAGTTTACTGTTGTTCCATTGTCTGACAGCTGTAGCAGAAAAACATGTAAAATTCAGCAGTATTTAATTACTGTATATGTGAGCACAGAGAGCAGGAGAGAGGCAAAACAGATAAAGGACTGAAACCAGCTGACGCTCGACAGAATGTAATTACAACACAATGGCGTCAGTTGTTTAAAGCAGTTCCACAACAGTTGTTATCTATATAATCAATTTCACACACTAACCATATGCAGTGTAGCTATATACGTTTTTGACCTAGTCTGGTTTATATTTGAGACCAGTTTTTACCCTTTCATTTACAAACTAATAGGTTTGAGGAAGTCAGGAAGTATGCAAGGATGAATTAACACATGCTGGTTTATGATGACAATAAGAATATCAATATCACCAGCTTCATCCTTTAAGCTATTCATATTCATTTGGAACAGTGAGGAGAGCAAATAACACGTAAACTCCGACCAAACAGTATTAAGTATTCTCTGTAGCTGTGGTATAATGAATATTAAACAGTTAGCTTTGTGATCGTTTGCTTTGTGATGATGTTTTCCATAAACATGGACAACAAATGTTGAACTACGCCTCAGCAGACCACTCTCACAGTCTAACACCATCTATGAATAAACCTAGACATCAAAAGATGAACGCACACCTATATACTAGAGAAAACAAACAGTAATGTGGCACCATTTGGCTGGTGGCTAGGAGTAATTTCCCCCTCCAAGTTGGGGGTACAGTTAGGGGAGCAAGTTAAAATACACCTTCTCCATTTGAGAGAGAATTTGAGGCTTCATAGTCTGTGACTGGCTGCTGCTCACAGCACATCACACATGGTGGCACTCCAAATGGGCTCCTGGGCTCCCCCTGCATGTGTGTTGTGTGTGTGTGTGTCTTTTTGTATGTGTGTGTTTGTGTGTGTGAGTAAGACACGTTTTCAGGATTTCCACTTGAGAGGATAATGTGAATGAGTCACGGCTCTCTCTCTTTTTCTCTCGCTCCTTTCCCTCTTTTCATCCAGAGGCAGGCAGTGGAAAGCTAAAAGCTGCCATCCGAGTCACAGAGAGGTCTGCAGGAAGAAAGGTACCAGACTAAAATAGTGTTAGTATTTTTAGCAGTGAGTTCCCCTCTTCTACTATTAATGCGTAACTTGGATAATAATTTACGCCATTTTTCTCATATGAACATTAGGTAGCACTTCAGATCTCTTAAAAGTAGAAGACACATCAATCAGCTGATCAACTATGAAGACACACAATGGAATCCCAAAAGGGAGCTTCTTGTTGGTCTCTCAAAGTATTGATTTCTTCAATAGATTTCCCTCAGGCTTTCAGGTTATGGTGTGTTTAGATGCAGACTCTCTCTCTCTCTCTCTCTCCTCGTTACAAAAACACCACCTTTGGCATTTCAGCTGGCTCTCACTTTTTCTGGCGCATGCATGCTCATTCACACAAAAACCACTTCTCAGTGCATCTTCTCCCTCTGATTCACCTGCTGCTTAATCTCGATTTGTTTTTGTCTTTCTCTCTTCTGATCTGCTGCCACGTCTAACTGAAGCCCACTTGTCACAGTTCTCAGAAAGGGGACCCAAGAGCACGACTCAGGAGGCAGATGTAAAAGTTAAGAGTCTTTGCTTAGAGAAAAGACAAGGATGCAAAAACATTCAAGCGGGCAAACGACGTAGGCACAGGCAAAGTCTAAAACACAATCAGGATCAAAACAAGCAGGTAAAGAACACAGAGCTAGAAAGCTTAGTCACATGGGACAAAGACACTCTGGCAGACAGCAAGTGGAAACAGAGTGTTATGCTGTATACCAGGGAGCTGATGAGGGGATGGGGAACAGGTTAGCAGGTGAGTAGGGAGGAGGTGATTCTTCTGGCAGAAAAGGCGGGAAGGTGGGAGTGGCAGGGTCTGAAATGACAGCAGAATTAGTCTAGAGACTAACGGTGGGTGATTTGGCAAAATGATCATATGATGTTGTTTTTGGGTAGAATTGCAATCCACGATCTGCATCCTGTTTCCCCTCTGATTTCATTGTGAAAATCTGAACTGGAAGTTGTGATTTGTATTTTTCCCGCTTTCCGCTGCCTTGACGCTTCTTTCGGATGTTTGTCTGCTCACAGCTACTCTTCGCCCACAATGCTGTCTCCTGTTGTATCACAACCATTTTTTGCTAAGTTCATATGA